GAGAGAGAGAGAGAGAGAGAGAGAGAGAGAGAGAGAGAGAGAGAGATCGATCCAGGCCTTGCTGGGTCCAAAGCGAATGAGCCCCAGCTTCTGGCAGCCCCGTGTGGTTTATTAAGAGACAGCAGACAGCTGCTTATTCATTTTAGAACTCTAGGTGTCATCTTTTTTATTAAATTAATATAAAAACCCTCTGTATTTACATCTCAGCGGCCACCCTACTTCCTCTCGGTGTCCCTGAATCCAAGCACGGGGAGGGCTCCGCAGGGAGGTGAGCCGGCAGGAATGGCGACTGAGAGTCCTTGCTGCGGGGCGGGGAGAAAGAGGGAGAGCAGACGGGGACCCCTTTGTCCTGGGGTTCAGTAGCTCCAGAGTTCCAGTGTTCACCTTATTCTGTCCTCACATTATTAGCAAAAAATAATGATCGTAACGGCATAGGGCTGGACCTCCCAGAAAGCAGGAGGCCACGGCTCACAGGCAAGTGCGAGTGGACGGGGTGACGGAAAGGACTGGGGAGGGGTGAAGAAAGGTCAGTGTGGAGGTGATGCCCTGCTCAGGTTGGAAGCGGCCTGCACAGGGAAGCAGAGATGCCCAGATGGGATTTTTGCAGCCCCTCAGCTTGTGGCTTCCTTCTCCAGCCCTCTTTGCTGTGGGGCCTTTGCTTCATCCGAAGGCTGTTGGAAACAAAGGCGAGGGAGCGGAGAAGAAGAGGAGCTTCTTCGACAGTGCATGATCGAGAGCACGATGCCGGCGGCCCGAGAGGCAGGTGCGACCGAGCACCACAAAATGCAGGATCTTGGGAGTCCAGGAGGACAAAATCCCGGGTTCCCAGGGATCCTGGGCGAGGAGAGGGCTGTAGGGAGCGGTCCCCTCCCTCTGGGCCTGGACAAGTGCAAGGTGGTGGTGGGGGGAAGAGACTGTGGCCCCGGCAGTCAGAGCATTCCCCCCCCCCCCGACCCGCTCCAGCAGCACTGGGGCGACCCAGCTTCTCTGCCTAGGAGGGAAGTCTCTCCTTGCAGCCACGGGTCCCCTGCCGGGAACGCGGAGAAGGATTCCAGTTGGAAGCACAACAGTCACGGCGTGTCCAGGCCACGCCGTCCACAGACGGCTGTCAGTGGCACTTGTCATCACTCTCTGACGGGCTGGACTCGCGGGGGATAGAGTGCCTGTTCCGACGGTCCCAGAGCTGGTGGATCTCCGTGGCTTCTGTCTCGCTGCTACTGGTGGTGCTGTCCCGGAAGCTGGCCAGCGGGGGGCGCACCTTCACGCCCTTGGCGTTGACGGAGCCCTCGATGGCCTTCCGTAACTGGGGGGGAGATGCGGGGACAGAATGAGGGAGGCTGGGGTGCAGGCACGACCGTGCTTGCCCAACTTGTCCAGTCTGGCCTGCTCTGCTTGGCAGGGGCTGCTCGGAGGACCATGCCCCGCTCTGCCAATCCCACTCCCGTTCTGCCAGCAGCCAATTGCCGGGGGATTTCTGGGTCTTTTTGACATATTTGACATTATGGAATGTACTGGAAACACGGTAATTGCATATATATATATCCCAACTTTCTTCCTCTTGCTAAGAACCCAAAGTGGCCCCTCTGATCCTCACTCTCATTTTATTCTCACAGCAACCCTGCAAGGTAGGCCAGGCAGTCTCTCAGCGACTGGCTCCAAGTGCCCCAGGGAACTTCACGGCCAGCTGAGGATGGGCCAAGGCGAAGCTCTGACATCTGGAAGGCAGGATGACACCCCCCCCGCCCCCCCGCAGCGCTCCTGACGCCTCCCAGCTCGGCGACGCTCACCTCCTTGAGGGACACCATGCCAATCAGGCGCCCGATGCTGGTGACGTAGGCGTGATCCACGCCCAGGAGGGAGAAGATGGTGTGCGTCTGGAAGAGACAAGGGCAGAGTCAGGGGGCTCCTGCAGCCCCGGCTTCGCTGCCACAACGCCTGGAACAGGGTACCCCGGCCAACACCGTTCAGACCCACAGCCGGGGCCCGTCCTCCGCAGCCTGCACGCTGCAAGCCACTGTCCCATCCCGGGCCAGGCCTCGCCTCTGGAGCCGGAGAAAATCTCTCAGCAGGACCGTTGCTTTGCTGAGCTCGTGCAAACCCACCGCGTCCCGCCCTGAGCACACGCATCCCGTGCTTGGCTGGTTTGCTCGTTTTGCATCACGGGGAGAGGGTGCGGATGGAGCTCCGTCGGCACAGGGGTCCTGTCCTCGGCCCTCCTTGAAATCCCATTTAGGCCAGGCCTTCCTGGGATGGGGAGCATGGGCCCAGCACCACTTGCACATTTTCCAAGCCACTCTCAGCCATGAGGGCTAGAAACTTATATTTCACAACAACAAGCTCAGGAAAAGGGATTCAGGGTACAATCTGCACAGCGAGTCTGTGCTTGTATAGGACTTGTGTGAAATCCCAGTGTGCGTCTACCGGACCGACGCTGTCCGGTTCCGCTGACCCCACCTTGTGCAGAGACGTCCGTTCCACCAACTGGAAAGGTGCCGGATCGATCTTGCTGTTGTTGAAGTTGACAAACTGCTCCAGTTCCTGCTCCTCCCATTCCAGGATCTGAAAGTGGAGAGCCAGATCAACAAGCCAGTCCGCAAAGGCAGCAGCGGGCAGGCCGAGACCACGGGCCACCGTAGATCCCGTTCTTCAAATTCAGGCACAGCCTCCACCCTTTTCCCTCCAGCAGCCCAAGCTGGTCTACCTGGTTCTTCTCCGGTCTATCCTCACAACCACCCTGTGAGGTTGGTCAGGTGGAGAAAGAGAGAGAGCGGCTGGCCAATGTCACCCAGTGAGCTCTGTGGCTCAGCAAGGCACCTGAACACGGGCCTCTCCAGCCCTGGTGGAATCCGTTTAAGCTAGACTGGCCCCCTGGTGCCCCAGGATTAGGGCTCCACACCCTGGTTACATGGAAGCACTTCCAACATGAGGTGCTGAGCAGAAGCAGTCTGGCTGGAAGGGAGCGTGCAGGAACCTCTGCTTAGGCAGCGGACAATGAATTAATATCCAAGCAACTTAAGGCAGCTGACCTAATTCTGCTGCTCCTTTCCATTTCAGAACAACCACCCTATGAGGTAGGTTGGGCTGGGAGCTTGCGACTGGCCCAAAGCCACCCTGTGAGAGCCATGCATGAGCCTGGCCCAGAACCCAGGCTTCCTGAGTCTCAGTCCCACACCCTGGGCCACTAGATTGCACTGGGTTTCACTGGAAATGACCAGAAAGGGCTTATCCGTAGGCTACTCCCTGCCTTTCAGCTCCAGCCAATTTTCAGTAAAGTTTCCAGTGCCCAGACAGGTTGACCCAGAGCAAGATACCTGGGGAGCAGGACAGAATTCAGAATTCATGTCTCCCATGACAGAATCCAGGACTACAAAACAGAGAGCAGGAGAAGCATGAAATCTTCCAGGGAGGACTCATCCAGGTGACTCACGCAAGCAGGCTAAGCGAAATGCAACAGCAGCTCTGGGAATTAATCGACTCTGGCATTTATTGCTCCCCAAGTGGTGCAGGGAATACAGTGTCCCTACAGGCAGACGCGGGCTGGCAGAGAGCACGAATTCAGCAGCGCCTCCGTCACCGGCCCAGAGAGACGATGGCACGCGCGGGGTTTGCGTGTGATGAATGCTCACCTCTGCGGGACTCATTTCACCAGCCACTTCGTATTCGTCCTGCAATCAAACGGAGGAGAAGCACGTCAGGAGAGCTGTGAGCGAAGGGGCAGAACATGTGAATGAAATCGACTGTGCAAGAGGGAGAGCCCCGAACCGTCCAGGAGGGGTCCCCAGGACTGGCGAATGCTTGGCCGTGCTGGAAGGGGCGGTGGCCAAGAGGGGAAGGTGAGGCTACCGTGTCCGGCCCGTGTGGGTCAAGGGGGACTCGAGGCTCGTACTCAGATTTGGGGCTAAACTGGGCCTCTTCACGCTTCACGTTTTGATACCGTTGAGTTTCCGCAAGTTAATTTTTTACCATGCTGTTCAGCACCACCGAAATATGTTGTCTAAGTGTGCCCCCGTGTGCCTAGAGATGGTATTCACTGCACCGGCGGGCTAGGGGATGCTGGGAATCCTGCACGCCCCTTGGAGGACACGGGATGGGAGGCGCTTTCTCCAGAATGATCCGTTCTCCGCAACGAGGGGCTTTTCCCGTGGGTGGGCTCCTGCCTCAGGCTTACTGGCTGGAGCGCTTACCATGGTCATCTGCACGCAAACCCTTCTCAGAGCTCCTCTGCACGTTTGTGCCAACGAAGCCTGGTTTACCACTGGACGCACACTTCAGACCGAGCGGCAGCAATCCATGCTCTCCAGCAAGCGCCCAACATACTATTTTCCAGCAAGAATTGATCTCATTCATAGAGATAAAGCAGATTGTGCCTTAGCACTAACCTGCTAATCATGGACAACCAGGAATCCCTGGCAGGAAAAGGCACAGACTCCCCTCCCTCCTCCGTGCCCAGCATAAATCCAGTCCAGCTGCTAGAAGCATCCCTTTTCCAAACCCAGCACAGAAATCCAGCTTTCCTTCCTTCTGCTAGTCTCGACAGTATTGCAAACAGCAAAACAAAAGCAGGAAAACAAAGAGCAAGCTAGGAACCTTGGCCAGCTCACTAACAAGACTGATGTAGAAGATGGATATAACCTGACCAAAAGCCAGAATGAAGTTCAAGCTCGTGCCCATTCTTTCCCGGCTGGGGCGACGACGTCCCAAGCCGTGATCTTTGGATCTGTCACGTACATGCATAGCAGGTGAGACTTTTCTGGGAGCCCGGAAGGGCCACAAAATCCAACTGCGTGCCACACTGCAGCGTTCCTGGCAATTCCTAGAAGTGCTGTCATGGAGACCCAAACCCAGAGGAGGTCCACGCAGCAGGTCATTCTTCTCCAGACTGTTATGACCAGTCTGCGCTCACTGGTTACGGAGGTGCCATTTCTGACGGCAGCCCCATGATGCTGGGTGCAAGATTTGTGAACTCTAGGCTTCCACCGCTGTGCCCCTTTGCCCATCTTCCTGTTGAGGTTCCCCCTCTCATCTCAAGCTCCGCCCTCTGAGCACCATTTCTTTTCCCTCCTTTGGAACGCTCCCTCTTCCATCCCAGGCCTCCCAGTTCTTTTATCCTCCTTTCCTGGTTCTTCTGCTTAAACTACTTAGCACTATGATCAGAACTAGTAGGGGTCAGGGGCCCTCCTGGCATAGCCACAGTGACAAACATGCATCAGTTTAAGTCCCTCTCAAAGGAACTTGGAAACTGTAGTTCAGTTCTCTGCTGACAGAAATCCTTCCCTACCTGGCTGGACCACATATGCCAGAGTTCCATGGGGGTGTGTGGCTGAATGACTGCAGAGAAGTCTGCACCATAGATCCGGGGAGACCTTTCTGACTTAATCCACCCTTCTGGGACAACCAGGTGTGGAGTCAAGTGCCATAAGCACCTCCAGAGGTTCTTACAGAATCACAGAATTTCAGGACTGGAAGGGGCCTAGGAGGCCATCCAGTCCAGTCCTTGTTCAATGTAGGAATCTTGCTGCTGCAACATCCATGACAAATGCTTTAAGATCTTCAGCATGTGGGAATCTGCCACCTCCTGAAGGAGTCTCTTCCATGGCTGAAAAGTCCTTAGAAGAAGGACATTTCTCGTAATGGCAAGCCAAAATGTCCTCCTGGCCTTTTCTGCCCACTGGTCCTAGCTATGTTCCATCTTCCGCATGATAGAGAAGTACTGGAATGTGAAGACTACCCCCTTCTCTCCCTTTCATCTTCTGTATGTTAAAAATACCTGGCTCTATCAAACTCCTCATTAAAATTGGTGTCCAGACCCGTCACCGTCCTAGTCACCCTCCTCCAGGTGTGCTCATCTGTCAGTATCATTTTGAAAATGGAGCGCACAGAAATGGACACAGAATTTCAAACGCAGTCTGGCTAATGCAGAATAGAACAGAAGTATTACTTCCGTGACTGGGACACTACACTTCTCTTAATGCAGGCCAAGATGGTATTTTGGTTGTTTTTCTTTTTTAGCAGCCGCATCACACAGTTTCGCACGCTACAGCTTAGATTTATCTGCAAAGATGTGCTCCCAGAACTAACTCCCATTTTTAACACACATCTTGGCAGCAAGACAAATTCCTGTGCACCCAGACCTTAAATAATGGATCAGGTTAGTTTCTTCTTTGGATGCTTCTTGGAGAAAACATGACAGCAAAAGCTGTGTTGGGGGGAAAAAAACCCTGGATGGGTGGCCAAAAACACCTTCTAGGGGACTGTAAATTTCAGCAAAAGCATCACCTTTCCAGATTGTGCCATGAAATCAACAAAATCATTATATGGCGGAGATTTTCACTACAGGACAGGAGGAAATTAGCCGAACAAGTCACTGTGAAGCAGCAATGCAAGCAATGAAAATGTATGATTGGCTTTTCCAGAAATCACTACATAAATCTGTTAGTTTGTAAAAGGGACGGAGTGTTTCAGATGCTACTAAGAGGAAAGATGAATCAAAACAAAAGCCGGAACTGTGCTGAAGGCTCCTGCAGTCGAACCACCTTTGCACTGCAGGGGAACTGGCGCAACCTACTGCACCGCGTGCCGCAAACTGATGGATCAGGCCGAAGAAACTCCATCTAGCCCAGCTATCTGCTTCCAATGGAGGACAGACAGATGTCTTCAGGAAGTCTGCCAACAAGTGATGTCCATCCATCTTCTGGTACTCAGGGATACCCTCTGTTTGAACATGGAGGTTTTGCTTAGCTATTAGCACAGCTACTAACCAGTGATAGGCAAATTTCTTGAGGACCAGGTATTTGTTTTAAAAAGTTATTTTTAAAAATTGCCCCCCATCTAAAGTAGTGGCCCTCGCCAGAATGTACCGAGGTGAGTCTCACAAGTTGGCACTGTCGGAAGACGCACTTCCTGGACCTTCCTGGACACCCATTCATTTCAAACGAGGTTTGTATGTGATGGCTACTTAATTGAAATAGTAATATGACATATGCATATACATATACATATACAGGGAGGGCAGGGAAGGGGTGCTAGTTAGGTGGATGTGAGCCGCCCCGAGACTTCGGCGAATGGGGCGGCATAAAAATGTTTTAATAAATAAAAAATAAAAACCCTACCACGTCTTTGTATTTGGGGGGAAAAATACCAAAAATGATATCCTAAAATGTCCATCGGGTCAACCAAAACGTGTTTGCAGGCTAAACTTGACTCTTGTAGTGCTCCATGACTGCTACAGAGCACCTTTTAAAACTTTCTCTATATGTAAATATAAATTTATTTTTGTCCTCCCAGGAAAATGGCCCCTTGCAATAGCCCACCAGGAATTTATATTTCCATCTCGGCCACCAAAGGATTGTGGGTGGGCGCCAGCTAACGCTCCAAACGAGCAAACCTTCAGCACAGTCCGCGGCCTCTGGAGACACATTCGGGCAGGCCCGAGTTTCCTGCCCCTGTGATTGTCCCGGAAAGCTGCATGGATGTGGCGTGGCCCTCACTTACCGCCACAGAAATGCGGACGCGCTTCGACTTGCGCTTTTCGGGATGGTCTGAATTCTCATCCTTGTTTTTTTAAAAAAAATGTATCAGAGAGAGGAATTATGGGGCAGGCCCCATGCGGGTCTCCCAGGGAACCGGAGCGCCTCTGCCCAGAAACATTCCCAAATTTAGGGGATGGTGGGAAGCAAGGAAGCCTCACCTCAGTGGGGTCTGCCGTCGTGCTGTTCACGCAGAAGAGGCTCCTCAGGGCAATGCCTGGCGGCTCCACCGTCCCAGCTGCCCGAGCACCAAGACAAAGGAAAGAGCATTTAGTCAATCAAGTCCCAGTTGGAAGGAAAACCCTTTGTTTGACTTATAGCCTGTCTTTTTCTTTTGTAAAGACCCCAAAGTGACTTACATCATTCTCCTCCTCCTGCTCTCCATCTTATCCCCACAACAACCTTGCAAGGTAGGTCGGGTTGAGAGTCTGTGACTGGCCCAGAGTCACCCAGCTGGCTGTCTCCATGGCTGAGTGGGGACTGGAAACCAGGTCGCCTGAGTCCCAGGCCTGAGTTCTGAACCACTACACCACTGGGGCAAAAAAATGTTGAATTTCTTTCAACCTGAGGGCTGAATTCAGTTTTGGAGATGCTCACAAAGACCATGCTGACTGGAGAGGCAGTGTTGCCCAGTGGTCAAAGCACTGGCCTCGGGAAATCCAGGATGTAGTCCCCACACAGCCATGAAGCTCACTGGGTGACTTTGTGCCAGTCACTCACTCTCAGCTCAGCCTACCTCACAGGGCTGTTGCTATGAGGAGCAATTGGAGAGGAAGACCCTGTAAGCTGCTGTGCACTACTTGGAGGGGAAAAGGCAAGATATTAATGTAAGGATAAATTAAAAATAAATAACACTCTGTAGGATAGCGGGATCAAAAACACCCATCTATTTTAGGTTACAGCTCTTAGAGCCGTTTTGCGAATGGGAGAAAAACCCTGCACCATGCTGGGAATTCGCTGGGAAATAGTTGGCAGCCCAAGCAAAGGCAGCTGCGCTAGGGGAGAGGCTTGGGAAACCTGGAGGGCTGGATCTGACCCACAGGCCCACGGTCCAACACCCCTGAGACAGGGCGAATCGGGTCAAGGACTCACTTGAAGGGCTCTCGGATACAGTGCTGGGGGCTCGTTTCAAAGCCGGTTTCAAGGGCTTGCGGGTCTCGCTTCGTGGCGGGACGAACGAGGACTCCTCTGTGCTGATCTGGGACAAGAGGAGAGGCAGGCGAGTGAGGAGGTGATGCAGGGGCACAGAGGAAGCCCTCCTGCTGCTCTGTCGCTACAAGGCTCCCCCAGTTCTGGCACCTCCCCTCATCACCTGGAAGCGCACGCTGGTGTCGGGCACCTGGATCTGCTCCCCGCCATCCAGGCTCTTCTCCGCAGCTTTGTGCTCCATGTGGGCCTTCTCCCGCAGGTACTGCAGGCGGCGGGCAGGACTGAGCTGGTCTCTCAGGAGGGCCACGATCTGCGTGCGCTCGATGGAGCCCAGCAAGATCATGGACTCTGCAAGGGAAAGGGGAAAGCTGGTACAGGGTGTGGAGCAGGACTTGCCGGAGACGAGCGTCGTGCCAGGGAAAGCTGGAGGCAGAAGAAGAGGAGGAAGGCCAAAGAGGCGGGGGACGGACTCCATCAGGGAAGCCACAGCGCTGAACTTGGGAGAGCGGGGTGGGGCTGTCAGGGGTATTCTGGACAGCACCCCTTCTTCGGTTGCTTTATGTCGGAGGTGACTTGACGGCCCGTGACAGCGACACAGACAAAACTGGGTAGCGGCATAAAGAGACTGGGAGCGTTGGTCTTGTGCCCCCATCCCACATTCTTTCAACACGCAAAGTAGGGTGGCATCTGCACCCTTCTCTCATCTGAAATGCCAGCTTGGTGCGCCTCTTCCCTGTCTGGTGAATAGACAATCTTGTCCCAAAAGGAGACACAGCAACACCGAATGTTGCCCAAGACGGTCTGGAGGAAGAAGAGGAAGCACTACGTTTGGTGCTTCCTGCCCACCCCACCTCACGTTCACCTCTGAAGCTGCTGCTATTTGAGGTCAGCTGGTAATTCAGAGGATGCTGGTGATGCAGGCATGCTGGAATGGTGCTATTTCAGAATACAAGTTGGGGGGTTGTGGGTTGGGTAACACGGGGAGGGGAATCATGTAAGCCTCCTCGGTTCCTTGCAGGAAAAAAGGTGGGATATAAATATAATAAAATAAATATTTTGTTCTCAAGATTTTTTTCAGCATGAATTGAGTGGAAGTTTTACTTATTGCACATGAATTCTGGAGGTTACTTATCTAAACATCCCTAGGATTGTCAAGTGGAGCCAAGTAAGTCTCCCTTTTTAGCTTGGGGCTTCTTATATAAAAAGACAAGCATGCTTAGCTTGTCCTGTAGTAGTGGTGGTTTCATTCTCTTAAAGTTGAGCACACTGGGAGCTGTAGGGCTTCTTTCAGTCTAAACATCATTTTTGGATTCAGTCCGGTTTAGTCAGCAACCTCAGGCATCACTAGGGAGCGCAGCTACTGACACCAGCATGGCCTGTTCTTGAGGTGGTCCTTACTGGTACATTAGGTCTTCCATGAGTGACTCTGAGTCAGCTAACCTACCTCACAGGACTGTTGTGAAAATAAAATGGAAAAGAGGAGGGCCACCTAAGCCAGCCTGAGATCCTTGTAAGACGAACAAAGCATAGTTGGAAGCCCATTTTTACTGGGAATCTGTTGCTATATCCAGGATAATCTCTTTTCTATGTAAAGATTTAAAAACTCTGAGAAGAATTTTAAATAGCAATGCAGGCCAGCAAACCGTTTTTGTTCCTGCTCTGGTTCAGCGTTCTGATTCCATTAAGTCTGGGCCAAATGATGTCAAAGCAGTTAATTTGTTGACTCACCAAAATCAGTCGATGTAGGAAAACAGTTTATTACCTCAGCTATTCTGGAACAAGTTGGAGGAGCTAAATTTGCTGTCTCCAATTAAATCATCAATAAGCTGCGATGCTTATCACTCAGTTGAACGGCTTAAGCACGTGAGAGTCAAAAACAGGCAAGGAACTCAGAAGCAAAGGACTGTTTGCAGGATTCTGGGGTGGGGGTGCTTTGAAGATTTATCCTGTGCTCCCTCTCAGGGTGTCATTGAGAATCGATCTGCTCATAAAAACAATAGCTTAAAACCAGCTGAAAAATAATAGCTGAAAACTGGCTTTTCTTTATTCTGGTGTATATGTGCAATGCCTCAATTTGGATTGGGAGCACCACGCACCGAGAGGGAAGGACTGAACCTCCCCATGCTTGCATACTGTTTGCTTGCCGACGTGTAAGAGAGAGAAAAAAGTGAGCCTCTCCCTTACGGGTGTGTAAGTGTCCCGATGCGAATCGGGGCCACATGCATTCACACAAGCGTAAAGAAACAGCTAACCACCAGTTTCACATTATGCAACTAACATAACATGGTTTGGCTTCTTAGTTGAATTTTGATCCCATCGGAGGCAGAATCGGCAGGTTCATGAAGCCAAGGTGTGCCTTTTTAGTGCAAAGTTCAAGCCTCCCTGAGACGTTTGAACTTGGAACTGAACACACACACAGCACTAGTCCTTGCGCTGGCAAACAATTGCGTCGGGAGAGAACGTTCCTTGATACAGAAATGGAATGAAATTGAACCACAGCCCTTCACATGCGAACCTAGCAAGTCAGGAAGATGGCTGGCCCGAGCCCTTCCCCCTGAAGCGTGTGGGGGGGGGGTCAGCTGTGCATGTCTGTGGGTTTGTAATGTTGCGGATACTGTTTGGTTCATCGGAGGAAGATCCAATCATGCGTACTTCCACCCAAGCCGGACGGGATGAAGCCCAAGCGCTGGGCGACCTGCTCTTCCACCGCCTCAGCATTATTGGGCTGCATCTGCATCCCAGCTTTTTCCCTTCTGTGAGCAAGCCAAGGAGCCTCACATAGTCCTCCACTCCATTTTATCCTCACAACAACAACCCTGTGGGGTAGGCTAGGCTAAGAGTCCATGGCTGGGCCAAAGTCACCCAAGGAACTGCATGGCCGAGGGGGATGAGAACCCAAAACTCCTGTGTCCCAGCCCAGTATTCCAACCCCCACACCACACCAGCTGTTACTACATAGATAAAAAAGGAAGCCAGGATCGTAAACAGAGTTTCAGGGGATATCAAAACCATAGGGCGAGGGTTATCAGTACTTTTTTATATAAAATAATGACTGGGTTCAGACAACACGACAGGCCATGGCTTTTTTTTTTTTGCCATTGTTGGTCTGTTGTGTTGTCCAGACTCAGTCATGATATATGACAGTGGTAAGTTTGGTAAGTTAGAAACCACAGGAAGAAACAATGGTTCGTTCCGTGATCTCTCCATGCCGCCATGGCTTCTTGGCTACCTGGATGGTAGTTTCCATGGTCCTGGTATGCAGTTATCACAGAGTCCCCTGGAAAGAGCGGCAACGGCAAGAGCCACTCTTGCCACCCAGTCTCTATATGCAGACCGATGAGGGAGAAGCAGGAGACATGGGCAAGAGGCAATGCACCTTGGGATTCAATTTCAGGTTGTGGATGGGATGTACGCAACAGTGGGGGGACTGAGCAGGGAGGGTGGAAACTGCAATAGCACAGAAACCAGGTCGGTCATGGTAAAAACGGGGAAGCCAGAGTAACCATGCAGAGCTGATGGCTGCGTTATGCGAACGGGGCCCGTGTGCATTCCGAAAAATCTACCCTGTGAGTTCGACGGTGTTCTCTCCTGTTTTGAACCCGAGCCACTCCACCCACCCTGCCCCAGCCGCCTTCTCTTACCGGCCGATTCCACCAGAGGCAGGCTTTTCACTTTGGACCCATGCAGCACCTCTTGCAAGTCACGGTACTTGCAATTCAGGGTGACGTAGCGCACGTCACGCACCATGATGTCCTCGACGCGCAGGTTGTACTTCCTGCAAATGCAGCAGCAGTAAATGGCGCGCCCTTTCAGCAGAGGCCGTGCTGCCTGCTGGATTCAAAGACCAGTCCTTCCTTGCTGGGAAATCGAAGGGGCCTGCAAACGCGGCCTGGGACGAGGGCTCCGGAGTTTGCAGGGAGTTCTCTGCCCCTCCAGCCTACAATCCCAACAAGGCCTTGGCTGGAACAAGGATGGGTAAAGGGGTAGAAAACCTCAACAGTAGTTATTTATTTATTTATTTAGAATTTTTGTATGCTGTCCCATTCGCATGAGCCTCGGGACGGAGCCTAGGGACTGCAGAAGGCCCCGTGCTTCCCAGAGTAAGACGTTCTGCAGCTCTTCCCACCATCTGCTGCCATTGAGATGTGTTCTCATGTTAGCCGGGAGAGATGGGATTTGCAATCCAACAGGTTGGGGAAAGCTACAGTCATTCTGCGGGCCTCCAGGCCCTTGGCACCCAGTGTCTCTAGATATAACAACGGATGAACGTTGGAAGCGCATAGCCGGCTTTCTGTAGCGACCTAGTTTTCTGGCATGGAGAGGCATTGCGTGGGCTCTACCAGAAGAATGGCGAGGAAATGATTAAGGTTCAGCAGGTCCTCTACTGAACTTCCCCAGGGTCCAAAAGCCGGGACAGCTTCTTGAAGCCATGCCAAAGCTTCATGGCCTTCAGCTTGCAAGGGATATCAGCTGGAGCTGCCCTCCCAGAGCATTCTGTAGAGAAGGGCTGCTTCTACTATGAGAACAAAACTGTTGCTTTTTCAAGCAGATGTGCTATTCAGGGATGCTACAGCCACAGAGAAAAAGAAACATCAGCTTTCTTTGGCTTATAGATATTCTGTATACATTCCCTATTTCTTTGCTGTATTTAATAACTGCATCTCATTCTTGATTAAAATAGTTTTGCTTCTCCTTTAGTATTTTCAAATCTAAACAGGGGTGCTTTGGTGGGATTAGGCCCCTGGTGGGGGAGCAGGCAGTGTGTACATGCACACAGGCAAACACACACACACACACACACACACACACACTTACTCTTGATGTCCCCAGCCCAGCTCCGGCAAATAAGGCAGCTTCTTGATCCGGATGATGCTGTCGTACAGCGAAGGCTGCAAGCTCTGAGCCACGGCATTGGCCAGGATCACCGCAATCATGACCGGCAGGATGTGCGAGATCTGCCCCGTCAGCTCGAAGACGATGACCGCCGTGGAGACCGTGTGGGTGACGGCGCCTGACAGCGCGGCTGCACCTGGTGGCCACGAGCAGCCAAATGAGTCAGGGTGCTAGCCAGGACTCCTGCACCGGGATGCTCCCTTTTCGACAGGCTGTGGGATCTCAGAGGCTAGGGGGGTACATAGGGGTGCAGGCGCTCCCTCAGATAACCGATGGATCTGGGGTAGTGATGGCTTCAGCTGTACAGCGGTACCTTGGCTCACGACCTTAATCCATTCCAGGACTCTGGTCACAACCCAAATTGGTCGTGAGCCAAGTTAAATTTCCCCATAAGGTTCAATGTAAATAAGGTTAATTCATTCTGTAACCGTTTTTTTAAATCAGAAAAATGTGAAGCAAAGTGACAAAGAACAACAAACATCGCTACCATCTCCCCCGCCGAGCACGAGCACGGCCATCTCCCTGCCCCCCAGCACAACTGAGATCGCGCCCGTCATCCCTGCACGCGCCTGTCATCCCGGTGCACTGGGGTGGGGGGAGAGACAGGTGCAATCGCGGCGCACTGGGGGAGGGAGAGACGGGCGCAAACAGCGCGCTGGGGGACAGAGAGATGGGCACAATCTCAGCCATCTCCCCCCCCCCCACCGCCCCCAGCACGATTGCAGCCATCTCCCCACTCAGGGGGGCGAGGGGAGATGGCTGCGATCGTGCTGGTTGGGTTGGGGGAGATGGCCGAGATCGCGCCCGTCTTCCCTGCACGAACGCAACTGCAATCATGGGCATCTCCCCACTCAGGAGGGTGGGGAGATGGCCGCGATCTTGGTCGCCACCCGATGCGGAGCTCGCGACCCACGTCAACATTTTCATGGAATTTTGTTCATGACCCGATTTGGTTGTGAAGCAAGGCATTCGTGAGCCGAGGTACCACTGCGTGATTAGCTTTGATTTCTGATTGTGAGCCGCCTAGAGGTGCCATGGCACAGAGGGCAGCATACAAATGTTTTGGATGGATGGATGGATGGATGCCCCCCGCCCCGCCCCATATCATGGGGAAAATGAGTTCCCCAGAGGGCACTCACTCCCCATCTGGAGGGCAGCTTTCTCCAGCCCGAGGCCCTCCAGACGCCCTTCTGGAGTGGTTGTCTGGAAAGTCAGTGCACTTGTGAAATAACCAGAAGGTATCCAGGGGCTGCGTACAACTCCTGCGCTGCTCCCAAGGGCTCTCGCATCCCAAGGTCATTCATAGCTGGATGAGGCCCCCTGCGAGGCACCTCAGGCCCCCAGCCCGCACCCCCCCCCCAGAGCATCACAAAGGGGACAAGAGCGGCTGCATCTTACCCACCACTGCGTAGCCCCCTGGCACGATGCGGTAGATGTTGCTGTCCGTGTGGATGCCGTCCGGGAACCACGCTGCCATGCTCTCGCCCACCAGCCGCCCAAAGGCCGCGCCTGCCCAGGGAAGCAGAGGCACGGCCTGAGCTTGGTGAGGCTCGAGGGGAAGCAGAGGGGGGACCGGGGCGGCCTGGCCCCTCTGGGCAGTTCAGGATATCTCCCTGGCTCTCAGGTCTTGAAACACACGTGCTCGAAAGGGGGGGAAGTTCTGTGTTGCAGGCACGGAAGAGAAGTGGGTGCCAATGGAGGCATCCAACCGCAAGATTAAGCCTGACCAAGCAATTGTGGGTCAGGACATGGTGGGAGGGGGGTGCGCTTTGGGTGGGCAGCCAGTTTCAAAAGGAGGTGCTTCTGATCCTCCTGGGGAGGGGCGGTCCGGGCTTGGCCAAAGGGAGAGCCAAGGGGAGGAGCGGGGCAGCTGTTGCTCACCGATGACGAAGACCGGCATGAAGGCCCCGCACGGCACGGGGATGGTGGTGGCCAAGGCGGACATCCAGAACTGGGGAGAAGGAAAGGAGCGTTCAGGCCGGAGGCCCCTCTGAGGCGTGCAGAATCCCTTCTGGCTGGGGGCCAGATACCCCTCCAGGGGCGTTCGTGGGTGCGGACACATTCCCGTGGGGATAAAGGCCATGGTGTGTGGCCAAAATAGGAGCCCAGGTTAGCATGAAGCTCTCACTGACAGCAACGAAACCTGAGGAGAGGGCTGGGCCGGGTCCCCTGGAGGGCTGCTCCATCTCACGATCCCAGGACCAGGGACAACTGTCCAGCCTGCCCACTGGCCAAGGCAGTCCTGGGGGGATAATGGTGGCCCCCGACTATGAAACAATTTCCCCACTGAGGCCCACCGGGTGCCATTGTGATGCTCTTTCTGGCGTCAGTTTCAAACGCTCCTCTGTTCCCAGACGTTGATGGCATTGTCAGCTGTTCTAATTAGGACGAGCTGGACCAAAATTGTTTTTGAGCTGTAAATCATTCTACTCGTTTCTATATTAGAATCTTAAACCATTTTTAAAATGTCTACAGTGGAATTTTATGCTGCATTTTTATTGCACTTAGATCTATATTTGTATTGTACCTTTTGGATTGTTGTGAACCACCCAGAGAGCTTCGGCTATTGGGCAGCACAGAAAATAAACGAGCAAAGGTTATGGCCAGAGACAGAGCACTGGCAGGACACCTGTTCCCAGATGCCACTTGCTGCACACGTCCTGCTCCAGGAGGAAAGCGTGTGTGAGGGTGCAAGGCGTACCTTCATGAGGATAAAGATCACCAGGGTGACAAAGACGTTGGAACGGGGGTGCTTCCATGCCTCCGAGGCACTGACGTACTCAAACGCTTCGGCCAAGCCCTGCTTGGCCCATGTGTGGTTGTCAAACAGGGTCACCAGAGTCTCCTTCTGCGTGAGCTGGGAAGGGAGGGACCAAAACAAGGGCAGAGGGTGAGAACCGAGCAGCGGCTGCCTCAGCGGCATTATTATTATTATTATTATTATTATTATTATTATTATTGGCCTTCTCCATGCGAAACGGACTGGGACCCTGCTATTGGAAGGATAGTCCGTGGCAGGACTGAGGAGTGCGTGGCGCTCCAGGAGTCCTTGGTCTGCAGCTGCCTTCACCATTGGCTATGCTGGCAGAGGCAGATGGGAACTGCACTCCAAGAACATCTGCAGCACCACAAGGTCCCCACTCCTGGCCTATGCCATGTGAACCTGCCCAGGCCTTGAAATCAGTAACCAAAGCTCTCTGGTCACTAGCTGTTCATGTAGGAATCGACGGGGCCTTCTTGATGTTGGCCCTGTCTCTCTGCAATGGCTTCCCCAAGGAAATCCATCTGGCTGCTCCTCTGTTGGCTTTAAGGAAAGTCTTCAAGACTTTAATTTTAAAATTCTAGTCTACACTGGGGTGATGGTACGGCCATTATATTTAAGAATTATTTTATCAGCGAATGCTTTTCAATGGTTAAAAACCACGCTTTACATTTTGGAATGTTAATATTGCATGGTTTTGACGTAACCAGCCTTGGGTGGAAATCGTGTTAAATAATGGCAGTACGGACTCTGGCTGTCTTCAGGGTACTGATGGGTCTGTACAGGATCAGGTTTTCTGCTTCTAGTAACAGCCAGTCAAATGATGCTGGCAAGTGCACAAAGCAGCAACATGAAAGCCATGGGGCTCCTGGGATGTCTGCCGCTATAGCTGACATTCAGAGATACACTGCCTCAGCCTATGGAGGCTCCATTGAACTGTTTCATAGTGGAAACAAAGCTCTAGAAAGGGGAGAACATCCAGGGAACCTGGGAGAGCACAGCTCACACAATACTCAGGCCTGAACTAGTGCACTGCTTCCGGGATGTGGGTCAGCCCTGGAAAGCACACCTCCCGCCCCAGCAGCTGTTTATTCTGCCTCGACAGCTCCCCCAGCTGGCCCCCACTCCAGAGGCATTCGAGTCCAGCCTCCATCATCCTCAGCCAAGCAACATCAACTGCAGCCCAAGGCTCCCGGAAGCCGCCCCATTGAAGGAGGCTGGCCTCTGTGGCGAGCTTCCCTGGACAAGCCTCGCGAGTGCGGCCCAATCACCTGGCCAGCCATGAACTGCCCGAAGCCAGGTGGGAACGTCAGCGTGGCTATGAGGAGCGTGACGAGAGCCGGAAAGAGGAGGCGCCTGCAAGACACAGAGGGAAGCATGAGAGCAAAATTCAGGGCCGCACCATGAATAATGCAAATAGCTCTCCGCACTCATTGCCCCTTGCTGAGACGGAAGAACCGTGGGGCAGAAGGCTGGGGCATGGGAGCCGGGGCAGCGCTGCCTCCTGCAAGTCCGGTGCCCGGAAGCGGGGCTTCGAAGCTGTGGGTTCTCCCCAGCCGGCTGCAATCAGCTGGCGGTGGAGTTCAATGAGAGAGAGACAAACCAGCCTGGATCAGTGTGGGCCATGGGGCCCTGAGCCCAAGAGCAGCCCCCCGGGCAAGTCTGCACCCTTCTGCCAGGACCCCTGATCCAGAGAGGCCCAAAAGTGGGGGGCTGAGCTCAGCTTCCCCTGAAGAACTTGCCAGCCCCGGCAAAGCACCAGGCAAGGGCTGATCGACGCAGGAGGGACTACTAGGTCAAGCTGCCAAGCCAGAGGGACCGTCCCTTTAAGGCTTTTCTCTCTTCGGGAAGTGGGTGGAGCCTGGGGGGGTCGCATGTGGTCTGTGGGGGCTCTCCACGGTGTGCCAGCTCCCCTACCCAATGGGCTGGCTAAGGCCAGCCTTCCCTGACCGGGAAGCAAGCATCCCAGCATGCCCCAGGCTAATCCAGCCACACCTGCCCATGGATCTTCTGCCACCTGCCCCCCCTCGTGGTGGGAGCAGGGCCCCTCGGCCCCCGTGCGGCACGCGGCTTGCGCCCCTTACTTTTTCATGAGGAAGCGGTTAATGGCCTTTTGCTTGCGCATGAACTGCACGATCTTGCGGTTGAAGTAGACAAAGAGAGCTCCCCCAAAGCCGCTGGCGATCCTGAGCGAGGAGAAGACGGACTCAGTGGGGAGTGGGCAGGGGAGGGGGGCTGCAGGGTGGGGGGATTTCGGCACAGAGGCGAGGGAGGCCCCGCGAGTCTCACCCGATGACGGCAAAGGCCGGCAGCTCCTGCAGGTCGAAGGGGAAGTCCAGCCGGAAGCGGGTTTTGAACAGAGCTGTGATGGTTTCTGCGGGGGGGGAAGGAGGATGGTGTGTTAATGGATCCCAAATCCTTAGGAACCCGGGACTGACTGCATCTTGTGAACTTCGACGTTAGCCGGTGGCCTGCAGACTGCAAGGTCACGATCCTCCCAGACGCTGCCCGTGCCCCATCTCGGTTGACGACACAGCTAACACTCCAGGCCTGGCCACAACATCTCTCCCGCTAAACTAGGCTTCTGTGGAAGGAAGCAGCAGAAACATTTCTCATCTGAGGAGTTATACCTTCATCCTTGTTCCACACAGCAAGCACCCGGAAGATGAAGGCACTGAAGGTGGCCGCGAAGAAGCCACGCCAGTAGTTCCGGACGGCGAAGAAGGTGGAGGTGACCTCGATGCTGAAGAGAACACCTGTGAGGACCGAGAAGGTGGAACGGTCTGGGTTGTAGTCCAGCTCACCTAGGGCAGGGCGAGGGCGACTCTAGATGACTACCCCTTCTTCCCTGCCCAACAACTGAAGGAACACTACCTTGAAGTTTATGCATAAACATCTCTGAGAACAGTAAAGATTCTGCTATACATCACATAAATAGGGTATGTGGCATGTATGTATTCATGATATATTTGTTTTTTCTGTTTTTTAATTTTTTAAAAAAATTCTGAATTAACTGGAGGGCCACAGCTTGCCCACCATGATCTAAATCAGTGCTTGTAGGCCAACGGTTGATCATCAGAAATTCCCCTGCCCCTCCCCCGCCCCCCCGTTAGGACTGAGTTTTCCTGACTCCCAAAACTAGGGACGTGAAGGCTGCAGTTTCAGCCACCAGTGCCCACGATGAAGGCAGACTGGGACAAGGCTCCAGTCAAGCATCCCTACGCATTGGGATGGGGGTGGGTCTAGATGACCTCACAGATCCCTTTCCAGGTGGCTTCAAGAGCTAAGAAAATGTCTGCGAGGTTATGCCTCTTACCTGCCCACTGCCAGCGAGGCAACAGGGCAGCCCAGGTCTATGTATAAGAACAGAAGAACCAGACCGGCAAAGTTGAATCTGTGGGGCTGGCTCAGAAGCATCATAAGTGAAGAGCATCAAATGCTGGGTGTTTGTTGGGTATTTCACGCTGGGTGCCCATCATGCTCAACCTCTATACTTGCAAATGTAAATATTACAACACCAAAATAAGCTCCCAGGGACCCAGTTCCAAAGGCAACCAAACGCAGAGAAGCTTCCACCCCTGGAACTGAGCCACTGTACAACTCGGCCACACGAGGGCTTTGGCGGTGAGAGTGGAAACCGAATCCCACAGAATCCTGGAAGGCTGCGCTGGGGCGAGGCGCCTTTCTCATAATTTGACCACAGAAGTGTGAGTCTGCTAATGGCATTTCCTAAGGATCAGGAGCTACCAAGCTGGCCCCGGACGCGCCACCCCCCGCTTGCTACGTGGATCTGCACCAGCCCACGCATCTGCCGGGTCGGTGCAAGGACTGTCCCAGTGGCAGTGACGCAGTGGCAGCCCCCCCCCCCCCCCCAGCCACTCTTCTGCCGCAATTTGGGAATCACTGAGTCGGAATACACAAAGCTTCCGGATGCACTGCAGCGGGGAAGAGCTGGCAGCTTTTTCAGAGGCTGGAGAAACGCAGGCCAAATGGCACAGCCCGGTGTTGGCTGCACTTCATTAAAAAGCACGGTTCAGAGGCCCGCGTGAAGTCTGGGAGAAGCAGCAGCCAGCGGAGCCCGATTCAGATGGGGCCCTTGCTCCCCCCGTGAGGCTGTCTGCGCCAAAGGTGTTGTCTGCAGCAAACACCAGGCTGGGTCTCAGCCAGCTGCTTTTGCACCAAAATGGGCCACGGGAAGCACCTTTTGGAAACAACAAGTGGTTTGACTTTTAAGGCGCTCTCCTTTCCTTCTGCCACACCCCAGACTTCAAGGGTACAGAAGAAATGTTTATATTCCAGATTCCCTAAGTTATACCAAGGTAAGGCAGAAATAGATATTTGAACAAAAATTCAGTTCATATTGCATAAATCGTAACGAAAGGTACTGCTATCATATAGTCTATTGTAACAGTTTAGCTATTGTTTGACATAGCTTTGCTCCATAAACTCCTTTGGTTCCACACCATGCTAGTGACAGGCCTAAATATTATGACAATTCCAAAGCACAAGCAGTGTTGAACGCATACTTAATGAAGACGCTATTTCCTCACCACCAACATAATGTGGACGAGAAAATTATTCCTTGGCAAATCCACTTTCCCTAAATCAGCACCGTGACCCCTAAAAATCACAAAATGTGCTTTCACAGGGACACATACGAAAGCCACATTTGTAATGAATGACGAAGGGGAAAGACGGCTGTAACCCCTTTCTTCTGGGGAAAATGGAGGCACCGTGTTTGCAGAGAGATGCTAAGCTGGGCTGCGTGCAGCTTGCATGGGGAACAGTGGAAGCACCTTTTTCTGCCCACACAGAAAAAGCTTTTCGGTTTTGCCCCCACTCCTTAGATGAGGAAACCTAGCCCAGTGTGGGGTCCCGGTGCATTCCCCCAAGGACGAGCTGTGCCTTTAGCACGCAGCTCTCTTGAGCCTAACTCCTCTTTCTGGGCGGCTTTGAGATGCTGTTGCGAATCGGCTCCTCGGAACGAGCACAGTAGGAAAGAGAGGATGCTGGATCCAAGGGCGTCTGGATTTGGGAAGCACAAGGAGCTCTAGCTTAAGTTAGCCACTGAGAAGGAAGTGGTCCAGGGAAAGAGTTCGGAGCAGGGATACAGCGCCTCCTTGGGGCCGTGGGGACAACTGCATTTCAGAGAAAGCTTTTGGGGGCTGCCTTGCGAGTGGCCAGGCCAAAGTGCACGGTGGGCTGCCGTGTGTCTTCACCTGAAGCTCTTCTGCAGGTAACTAAGCCCTGGGGGCGCTTTTCCATCTTTTGGAATGAGGGTTGGGAGACGTGCACAGAAGCCAGGAAATAACTTGTGGGAAGAGGGGCAGAGTCAGGGCCAAGGAAAGGGGGCACAGCCACCCACAGCCCTCAGCTCCACCAGGTGCACTTACAAAGGAGGTGTCCTGGGCAGAGACCAGCCATGGCTCTCTCCAGGACAGCATGGTCTACTCCAGCCATTCCCAGCCCAACACTCTACCAATGTCCTGGATGGCCTGCAGACTTTATTAGACCTGGCAGTATATAAAAGTATCAAAAAAACAAACCCAAACAGAAGCAAGCAGCAGCTCCGAAGTCCCACATCTCTGCTTGGGAGGCGCCGGCTGAGCGTTGGGCTCAGGGGCCTGGAGACAACCCTGCCGGTGTCCTTTGACATTCCCCTGAGGTTGTGTCTGAGAAGGGAACCCCTCACTGCCTCCCTCCACAAATCAGGTGACTTTTTTTGCTCAAGGTGCATTTTTGTCACAACCACGTGGCCCGTCTGCAGAAGTCCCTGCGGGGGGGGGGGGCATATGAGTGGCTCCTTTGCTCACGTGTGGGGCAAGAGTTTCGAAATCCCTCCTCTGTGTCTGCCACAGCCTTCGGTCACACCTGAAGCTGCCCCCCTGGGCGGATGCCGCAGGTGCTTGTATCTTTTATTGCTCAGCATTAAGGACCTGAGATGCCAGGTAACTGTCTGTGCCCCTCACAGTGCTCAGCTCTGCATATTCACACAGGACAATGCCTGGGACAGAGTCCAAGCATCAGTCAATCCAGAATGGCTTGACCCTCCAACTGTATTACACCATTTCGTGGTCTTCACCTCCAGCTCTCTGGCGCTATGACCCAACACACCAGGACTGGGGAAGACAGTTCTGTCCTGAGTAGGGAGGGTGACTCTGAGAAACAACTTCCTTGCGCCCAGTGGACTTTTGATACCTCAGCTGAAAGTGGGTTTTTTTAAATGACTTTCTTTTAAAACAGGTTGCACTTTGAGGATTTTTTGTTTAAAGCAAGGAAATTTGTATAACTTGCAAAGAACAATTTGCAGCGAGAAATTTAGCAGGGATTTACACAAATTACATAAACTCTGACTGCGATTTAAGCAGATGGTGCAAATTCCTGCTGCGATGTATGCGAATTGTAGCCAGAATTTATGCAAATACCTGTGGCTTTAAAAAGAAGGTAAGTCACTGCCCATTTTAACAGTGGAAGTTTACATGCAAGCTTGACTCATATTGGAGTGAGTCGAGATGGACAGACAGGCCAGAATCTGGGGGTCAGCTGAGCCACTCCACTTGATTTTGATCCCCCGCTCCTTCCAAGCCAGTTCCTTGCACAGGTCTACAAGGCCTGGAAAAGGTCCCCCTCCCACTGCTGTGACACGGAATTCATCAGCTGGTTATTCTGGGCATTGAACCCAGACCCCACTGCCTGCAAAGCGGGTCACTCAGCGACAGTTGCTGCTCCTGGAGTCTTCCTGCTAGCAGTTCCCCTCACTTTGGGAATGGAAGACGGTGGCCAGGGGCTGGCTTGGCCAGGCCGTGGAGGACTCTGGGATGAGCCTTACCTCCAATGGGAGCGGCGAAGCAGCAGCCGACACCCACAGCGCAGGCCGCCGCCAGCATCTCAATGTTGCGGGACTCATTCTGCAAAAGAAAGTTGTTCAGAGGAGAGCAAAAGCTGCGGAGGCAGAAGAATCAGCTCATGCAGTGGGGAAGCAACAGGGGGAGAAGCCGTGAATGGAGCAAACGCCGCTGTGTCTGCAGCTCTCTCTGGCTGGACTGGGTACCTTTTCTGATTACGGCTACTTATGGCCCATGACGGATCAGTCCGCTTGGACTTGCAAAACTCTTCAGGAAAGCCCACGTTGCCATCGCTTTGCTAAGGTTAGCAAGGAGAGGAGCAGAGGTGGCCGCCAGCCAGACTTAAGCTGTAAAAATGTGCATTGTTACACAGTTTTTGCAAGTGCTTACAAGAGTCTAGGGCCATTGGGAGCCATGGGAAAATCCTCTTCCCATGGGAACCCCTGCCTATGGCGAACCACGGGGACTCAAGCAGCCAAGCTGGACACTTACACCTCGTCCTCTAGCCAGTGTGATGCAGACAGTTGGGGTGGCAAGTGGTCAGAGTCTTGGACCAGGATGTGGCGAACCTGGTTCTGGTCCAAACTCTGCCATGGAGCTCACTGAGCATCTTTGGACTGAGCATCAACACTCTAACCACCACACCACAGTGGATCTCAAAAGAATATAGACTTTAGGCTACAGAACATGGAAAATATAAGCTTCCTTGGGTTCCTCAGAGGAGGAAAAAGGACGAGATATAAATGCAATAATAATACTAGAAAATTATTTTGGCCTTTACCTCCCAACAAACCTGGCTTCTGTGATTTCAGTGTTCCTTTTCAGGGCACAAGGGCTAAAAACTTCTTTTAAAACATAAATGGAACTTTGGCCCTCAGGGTAATGAATAGGTGGCAAGATTCTTCTCCAGGTTCAAATTCACACCTGGCTGGGCAAAACTGACACTTTGGATTGTGCCAAGAATGGAGCACTTAGGATGGGTATATGACGTTCCCCTGGCTCTCAGCATTTCTAGCAAACACAACAGATCCTGTAGCACTTTCCTTAAGGGCCAAGAAGCTTCATTCATCCAGTCTTGGAGGAATCTTTGCAAGAACCGTGTCAGACAGATGTGCACTAACTATCCCCATTCTGCAGATTGGAAGACTGAGGGAAAGATGGAATGGCTGACTTAAGGACACCCCGTGGACTAGAATCTGAGCAGGGCTGCTGCCTGCCGCATCGTGCCAGGTTCCTTGTGCTCCTTGCCCATGCCTCTCCCACTCAGCACCCCCCCCCCAAGCTTCCTGTACCTGCCTGGAACTCTGCCCACCAAGTGCTCACCTCATAGATACCACCAAAGAGGGAGAGGAACTTGCTGAGAAGAGCAGCACACATGCTGGCTATGTGGACGAAAGGTCCCTGAGCGAGAAAGGGAGAGGAAGGGGTTAGTCTTATGGACACAGGGCAGGAGGAAACCTCCCCTCCTCAGAGCTCTCCCTCCAAGATATTCTCAGACCCCAGGCATCACTGAAGTACAGTGCAGCCACCGGGGGCCCTTACCTCTTTACCCAAAGGCATCCCGCTGCCCAGGGCGCATGTCAGGCCGATCACCTTGGCCACAAAGGTCTTGAGGGTCAAGTATTCCTTCAGCACCACGCCCCGCAAAATGGTCTTCATTTCGGGGATGCCAGAGCCTGGAGAGAGAGAGAGAAAGAGAAAGGGGGGATCCCTCACTAACAGATCTACCCATTACATTTCAGCCTGTCAGTCCATTTTAATTGATCTGCATGCTGGCAGTTGGAGAAACGCTGCAAGACATGTGCCTTCTGGGATGTTGCTCCTGCTAGTCCTAGAGAGGAGCAAGGAATGATGATGAAGAGGCTGCCCCATGGACCACCGGGCAAAATTCTGCTTAGCCTTCCATGGGCTTTGCAAGATTTTATAAGGCTTTTCCCGGGCTTGCATGTGGCAAGAAATGGGTGAAGCTGCTATGGAAGCTCCAGCAGGACAAATTTAGCATGCAATACAAGCTTCCATGGTGGTTTGCCTCTGATATGTGGTGAAAATTCCCAGTTTTTCACTGTGGCAGGGGCCAGTCTAGAAAGCAACGGGCAGAGCTGCGTCCATCCCTGGGCTAGAGGCTCACGTCTTCAAAATTATTCCCTGCTCTCCCACCTGGATGCTTAGGAAGAGGAATTTTCTGGCCAATTCCAGTTTTGGTAGCACAATCGTAGGAACTCACACAGCAACACATGCTTGTGTTTTGCTACAATGGAGCCCCTTCCATCGTGCCTTTCCCTCTTCCAAAAAAGACAGAAAAGGTGAGCGTCCATTGTGGAGATGCCTGCAGAAAGGAACACCCCTTTGGGAAGCTTCCCCAGGCCTACCGCAGAGAAGGGTCGGCTCGCAGAGACTCCCCACCAGCCAGTCCCATATAACTTGGGGGAGAGATCTTAAGCAGGACAGGGGCCGCCCTGTTTCCCAGTACTTACCCACAGCCTGCGGAGCCAAGATCTGGGTGAACCCAGCCGAGAAAGTGATGAGTACAACCGGATAGGTGACCCAGGCCATGTACTGCAAGAAGATATTGGCATCCAGTCCGCCATACATCCACTTCTGGGCTGCACAGAGACACAGATCAAGAATGAGAGAGCGAGAGAGAGAGAGAGAGCGCGTGCATAAAGGTGTACAAGAGAGACCTTCTCAGTGGGCAGTCGCCCTTCATGTTTTCTGCTGTGTTTTCTGTTTTCTTCATGCTTTCCGCCAGCCAAACTCAAGGAGCTTCCAGGTAATGTGTGCCCTTCATAACCCATAATCCACGGGAGCCGGCGTGGGTTAGTGCTTAGATGCAGTGGTCAGACCAGGGCTCAGGAAAGCAAGGGTCAAGTCTGGTGATGGGGCTCCCTGGGCTGGATCCCCCCTGTGGACACGCTCCAGGAAGACACGGGGACCGATTCCAATGCAGACCCGGAGGGGGAAGGTGTTGGCCATGCGCCAAGGGCATGGGAGCAGAAGGCCAACCAGAAGCGCAGGGGCACAGAGGTCAAAATCCAGCCGCCAAGCTGGGTCTTCTGAACGGGTGGGGATGCGCATCCCACGAGGATCCTAAGGCTCCCCGTAAGAGGAGGATGGGGTGGGGATGCGCATCCCAAGAGCTGAGCATCAGATGGAAAGGGGGCGGGGTAACCAAGGGTTTAAGCAGCCTTGCAACAAGGGGGGGTGACCCATGGGAAGACCCACCTTGTGGGGGGGGGACTTGGGAGCCTACTCGGCTTGAAAAGGGTGGGCAGTAGCGGATGGGACCAGTTTCATGACAACGCTCTTCCATGATGCGCTAACCCAGGGGACGAACTGAACCTTACGAGGTACTGTGTTACGCAAAGCCTGCCTGGGACATTTGTCTCTTCTGGTTGTCACTATCTGTTCGTTTATTTATTTATATCCTGCCGTTCTCCCCTTGTGGAATTCACAGTGGCTGCTTCTGCTTCCCTGGTGGTCTCCCCTCCAAGCTCAGGCCAGCCCCAGATCTGCTTAGCTTCAACAGAGTGGATGCCTGATGTGCCTTCAGACCATATTCTGGGTCCAGTCATAGCTAGGGTCCAGTCCGTAGCCAGGGCAAGGCTCGTGTGTCCCTAATTTGCGTAAGAGAGGTAACTGGCTCCAAACAGGACTCCATGGCTTGACCCTAACGGGAGCCAAGGGCTGGGCACAGGCCACCAGGTGACTCTGGACTAGTCTCTGTCTCTCAGCCTAGCCTACCTCACAGGAACGATGTGAGAACGAAATGGTGAGGAGACCGAAGAAAATTTGTACTCCCTGGATCAGTTTTGCTCAAAAGGTTCCTTCATCTGTACCATCTGCCTGGGATCCCCCCGCCCCCAGGACACCCCCAGAAGATGCTGCTTCTCTTTCCCTTCAAAGCCTTCCCACACACCCACCCGTCCTGTGATCGTCTTTAACCAGCTGGGCCCCCAAATTATGGGCGGGACTGCCCCCCTTCTCCCGTACTCCAGTGCGACAATCAGCACTTTCCATACCTTGCAAGCAGATAGCTATGGCGTAGTCCATGGCCCAGCTCACCAGAGCCATAAGTAACCCCAGCAGGATGAGGAAGATCCAGTCTTCGCCCACTTTGGAGATGAGGAACTTTTGGCATCGTACGGTGCAGACTGCAAGAAGAGAGATGGGAGCACGTCAGGGACAGAGAGTGTGGGGCACCGGGGAGGGGCACGGGAGCTGGGGGCAAGAATGTGGGCAAGGGGAAAACTACAGGGCTGCAAGTCCAGGGCAACTATTCTTCTGCACAGCAAATGTTGGAGTACCTGGATGTGGCAGAAGACAAGCATGCCAGGTGCGTGAGGGCAACCTGAGGCTGCCTTTCCAGCGGACACAAAGGAAGTCCGCCTGCCTTCTTCTTGGGCCACCGTTCAGCCACGGAATCGCCCTCTGCCTCTTTTCCAGCAGTGGCGCTGGCTTCCAGTTTGTTTCCAAGTTCTGGTTATGGCCTTGAAAGCTCTAAATCAGGGTGCAGCACCTCCAGCCCCAGGGCAACTCTGGCCTTCTGCGCCTCCCCACCGCCTTCCCCTGGCCATCGATCCAGTGGTGGACTGTCTGCTTCTTTGCAGTTCCCTCCCTCAGACCCTGTTCCAAATGCCTCTCTGAAGGCTCAGATACTGGCAGTAGGAGCTTAAGCGAAAAATTGTGGATAGTCTCAGGATTTTTCATCACACCCCTTTGGCTTGCAGCTCATCCCCCACTGGAATGCGGCTCCTAACAGCTTCTCCGAAATGGAACTCGTCCCCTGGGCAGAAAGTAGGTGGACATCTTGGGTCCTAGACAGCTTAGGCCAGCGCTGGCTGAGGGCTTGTCTCCCTCCTTCCTACAATCCTGTGACCTGCACGGGACATTCTTTTTCGTATTGTGAGGCCCGGTGTGGAGACCAGGGGGTCCTTTGTTCTAGCCACGGGCAGATGGTGGAACTTGCTGCTTTGGGGGCTCCTTTCTGCCTTCTCTCTTGATCTCTCCATTGAAGGTATTTTTTAAAAGATTCCAGCAGCATTTGGCCTGCTAGGCTGAGATATGTTAACATCTTCTTAGTGGACTGATCTCCGCAGGGTGTTTGGGTTTTTATTTGTGTTTGATCCGCAGCATTTCGCTTTGTTGTTTTGTTGTTTTATTGATATTAGGGATTTCTGTTGCAATCTGAATTTTTGCCACGCCACCCTGGGTGCTGCGACAGCACTAGACGCATGATATAAATACTGTCTCCAGTTAGCGGAGTGCAGTTGGCCACGCTCCGTTTTACAGAGCGCGGTTGCATTTCGCAGATGGCATATAAGCCTTTGCCTTGCCCAGCTGCATGCAAGTCTGTGGCAGAAGACTTGCTAGACTGGAACTCGGGTCTTCCAAAGCTCTGCTCATGTAAACATCCACTGAACCGCACTGGCTCCATGAAGCCTCTGACCTGTGCCGCTCAGGCTACCCAGCAGCCCCAGCCCCAGATAAGGCAAAGACAACCCCATGGTTCACAAGCCCCCAGCTGGCTGGACAAGGGTCGATGCAAGTGAGCAAGCAGGCACAGAGGGGAACCTCTTCTATGCAACCAGAAGCAGCTACAAAAAACCATTCTGGAACATGGATGCACGGCAGGGACCATGGCTGTCTTGGGGTGAAGGGAGTTGTGTTCCAACACATCCTGAGGCAGGCAGGCTGGGGAAGGCCACACCATGCATAAGCAGGGTTGTAAATCACTGGAGCGATGTACAAAGTCACGCAACGTCGAAGCAGCTCCCTTCGTGTCTATAGAATCACTGATTACTTTTGCTGGGGGTGGGTGGGAGCGAGCTCTGCTTTATTTATTCTTTAAGAATCATTTTGGAAAACAAAATGGCTTTGACTGGGGTGACAGTAGCTATTCAAAACAGGGAAGGAACTGTTGCCTCAGAAGAGATGGCAAAGCCGCCAGGCTGCCCAGCACAAACCATGAATGAGCTTGAACGAGAAACTGCGTTTCGAAGCCAAAAATAAAGCGTTGGGTCAGTGCGAACAATACATTCGCATGAGAGGGAAACTTGCGTGGGCCAAATGGGACACAAGGCTCCATGACAGCGATTTGGAATTCTGCACAGACTCCGGTTACATAACCACACAGACATGCGCACAAGCGCCCCTCGATTACGCAACCTGGCTTGCACAAAAGCTTAGCTACCTTTGGGCCCCATCCCAGTGCTCTTTCCCCCACGACAATGTACAAGACATGCACATGTGGCTCCCCACAGAGGAGAGTGTACCCCCATAACAGATGCAGCATCACACAGTCCCTACAGGGGCGCCTTTCATCAAAACATGGGCTCCGAAGTGTTAAGAAAGCTCCTTTAAGAAGTTTATTTCAGGACTACGTGAACTATAGTGAAAAGACTCCCATCTCAAGATCACCTAAGCAAATTGGAAGAGCTCCGTGATGCAGCCGGGGTTAAAAGACACTTGTTGGACTGCTCCCAAAACATACACTTATTTTTCTTTTCTTTTCCATTCCTGCTCTCTGATGGAATCTCAGAGATGGAAGGAGCCTTGTGGTCTCATAGTTCAAAATTCTCTCCTATTCCCACTTGACAGAGGAAATCTTGGCTTGACAGCTTCTCCCAACAGTCCAGACTGTCTTCTCTTGCTCAGCTCTTAATGCTCCTTGTAGCAAGTTCTCCTCTCGGTCGCACCACCATAAAGGACATGCGTGGTGCAGACAGGAAGCAAGGCCTTCTTGGTGACTGCTCCCAGGTTCTGGAGGTCCCTGCCAAGAGACGCTAGGTTGGCTCTCTCTGCTGTCCTTCCACGAGAAGGCAAAGGGATTATTATCCATCTATCTTTCGAAACTGCCTTCAATGCCACCTTCCAGGGTGAAACCAGATATAAGCTGGTCTGTTGTCAAAGTGTTTTTCAATAGCTTCCATGCTGTTTATTTTATCCAGTGTTGCACTTTTAAATGTGTTTTTAACTTACCTGTTCTCATGCTATGTTTTGAATCATATTTTAATATATATAAACTGGCTATATTTATTTTAGTTCTGTGCAAGATTTATATCCTGCTTTTTTCTTATATCAAATGCAAAGTGGCCCACCTCATTCTCCTCCTGCTGCTTTCAGTCTTATCCCCTCAACAAGAACCCTGTGAGGTAGGCTGGGCTGAGAGCCTGTGACTGGCCCAGAGTCACCCAGCTGGCTCGGTGGCCAAGCAGGGACTTGAACCCGGATCACCTGAGTCCCAGACTTGGGCTCTTATGTGTAATTCATACGCTGTCTGGGAGCAGGGTGGAATTTGTATTTATGAAACCAACCACCAGCTGCTCACCTCTGCTTGAAAGTCTGCAGCAAAGAGTCTTTGCTCCTTCGACACCCCCAAATGCTGCCCACCTTTCCCAGGTTCCACGGTCAAAATGCTCCTCTTGCTCAGTCGTTCGACTGAAATCTACTCCTGTCCCAACTCTCCTGTGCAGTTGTCTTCAGAGATCCGATGCATGCTCGTAACCCTCCTCTTCCATCTTCTCTTCTCCCAGCTAAACATGCCAGGATCTCTCAAACTTTCCCCGTAGGATTTGTTTTCCCTACTGCCAGCCATCCGGATCGCCCTTCCTGGAACCATGCCCAGATCCGACTTAAAGCGTGGCTCCCAGAACTGGAAGGCTACGGCAGATGAAGTCTGACTAGTGCACAGCCAAATGGCCATGGGAGGGCTCCACGCAGGAGCGCTCAAGCCATCCTTGAGGCACACAGAATGGCTCCAAGTCTGAAGAGGGCCCGACAACAGCAATGCTGGCAATGCTGCTTCCATTAGTGGGCCCTGGCACGGGATGGCAGCCGCCCAAGAGGGCAATGTTCAGAAGTGATGCTACCTCAGGGCATGGTGGGAAATGCAAATGCTTAGCTGCCCAGTGCTGGTTGGAGTCCTAAGTTCGGTGGGGGGCAGGGGAGGAATGAAAGGTGGCCCGAGCGAGAACCAGCGGTGGACCTTGCAAAAGCGGCAGGCCCCTGGCAACTGCCCCGAGATGCCTGGTACAGATGCCCACGCTTTTCTTGGCTGTTCCTGCAAAGACAGCGTCTCCCTTTTGCTCCACAACTGCAAAACGGGTGAAGGTTTTAGCTTTCTTGTTTCTGTGCTTAACCTACTTCAACAAGGTTGCTGCAAAGATAAGGAAGAAAACGACAAAGCGTTCTGTACCTTCAGTGCCAAGATTCGCAGCTGGGTCTGCCTCCCACCTCACCCCTACCTCCAGCTTTATCAAGGGACAAAGGAACCGATTGGAGCTCAGTCTGTGGTTTAAATTCCCTGTTCTCAAAGCAACTGGGTCACAGAGAAGAGAATGACAGATAGTCAGAGGGAGGCCTTGCACCCATCCCATCCTGCTGGAAGGATCCAGTGGACAGCTGGCTTGCCACCGCGTGTACAGAGTGCTGGACTGGATGGAACTTGGGCCGGATCCAGCCTGGCTTTGCTTATGTTCTTAGAAACAGAGGAACCAGAGGAGTGCCCAAGGTTCCCCAACCCGGCATCCCCAGGATGTGCTGGGCTACCATGTCTATCATTCCCAGTTAGCATGGAGCCTTCTCCACTTCCACGATGCACTTGGCTGGGGATGGTAGGAACTGTAGTCCAACGGCCAAACATGATGGAGGCGATGGGATTTGTAGCTGGCACACTGACATGCCACCGGCTCAGGCAAGGCTAAGTAATACTGCTTTTATGTGCAGCGGCTTGCAAAAAGAAAAGGTGGCTACGGCTGATGAGCCAATCTATGCCTGGAAAGGCCACCCCTTAGCCACCCCCGGGGTGCACCCAAAGACGTGGTGGGCCACAGAGTATCCTCAGCCGCCCCCTTGGCCCTTCCAGGGTGAGAAACCTGCTCCCTGGACAAGCTGCATGTCCTCCCTTCGGTCATCCTAGCCCACAGCACTTCTATCTTACTTGGTTTAGGTTTCAGGATGTTCAACCCCCCCCCCCATTCCCGAAATCTCAGAAATTCCTGATTGTTACCCTCTGTAGCTGCCTTTTTGGGATCAGATGATGAAACGAGAAGACAAGGGCACCTCCAGCCAAAGCTCTGCGTGACCTCCTCCGCCTCCCCGGATGTAAATATGGAAAGGCGCAGGAGACGAGGCAGAGCCACAGGGCTGGAAC